CCGACAGCCCCCCGGGCGAGGGGGAGCCGGGCACGGAGCGGCCCTCGGGCCTCCACCGGGAGAGCCCCCGTGGAACGAGGCTCCCCCGCGCCTTCAACCCCCCACCCCCGAGGGGTGTCCCGGTGCCCTCCCCCCGGTGCCCTCCCCGGTGCCATCCGGGTTCTCTTCAGTGGCCAGTTCCCGGTGCCTCCCTGGCCTTTCCTCCGGTGCCCGATTCCTCCACCCAACGTCCACCCGGTGGCCGGTTACTGCCCAGTTCCTGCCCGATGCCCGCTGCTCAGTCCCCCCCACCCCGATGCCCCCGGCCGGCCGGTACCTGCCCCGGTCCCCTCCCGGTGCCCGGTTCCCTTCTGGTGCCTGGTACCTTCTCCACTCCCCTCTCGGTATCCCGCCGGTGCCCAGCTCCTGCCCGGTACCGGTACCCTCCCCGGTTCCCTCCTGGTGCCTGCTACCTCCCCCGGTCCCCTCCCGGTGTCCCCCCTGACGCCCGGTTCCCTTCCAGTGCCCGGTACCTCCCTCGGTCTCCTCTCGGTGTCCTGGTAACGCCCCGGCCCCCTCCTGGTCTCGGCACCTACCCCGGCCCCCTCCCAGTTCTCCCCGATGTCCGGTTCCCCCTCGGTGCCTGGTACCTGCCCCGGCCCCCTCCCTGTCCTCCCGCGGTGTCCGTTACCTCCCTGTTTCCCCCCGCATTCCCGGTACCTCTCCCGGTCCCGTTCCCGGTCCCTGCCCCGCCGGTGCCCCCTCAGCCTCGGCCGGAGCGTGACGTGCCCTTCCGCTTACGTCACAGGTGGCGCCCCGGGCGGGGCGGGGCCGTGCGCATGCGCGCGGGCTGTGAGGGGAGGCCGCCATGGCGGGGGGGGGAGAGTCTTCCAGAGCCTGAGGGGCTCCGAGGGAGCTGGGGAGGGACGGGACACTGGGAATGGCTTCCCACTGCCAGAGGGCGGGGCTCGGTGGGATATTGGGAAGGAATTCCTCCCTGTGAGGGTGGGGAGGCTCTGGCACAGCTTGCCCAGAGAAGCTGTGGCTGCCACATCCCTGGAAGTGTCCAAGGCCAGGCTGGAGCAACCTGGGCTAGTGGAAGGTGTCCCTGCCTATGGCAGGGGGTGGGACAAGGTGACCTTCAAAGTCCTTCCCAACCCAAACCAGTCTGTGATCCCGTGGCAGGGCTGTGTTGGTTTTTCAGATACCCCAGTTCCCTGCCCTGACACCCGTTTTGGGGTCTGGGCTCCTCAACCCCAGGGGAGAAAAACAAGAGTAACCACACACACAGCATCACCAGCAGCCATTGCCCATGGTCTTTATTATTTTTATTTTTTTTCCCCAGACAACATTTTACACAGTTGGTACAAAAAAAAATAAATGAACAAAATAAAATGAACAGGGTGGAGGGGGGCAACCTGTGGCAACAGGAACCGGGGGAATCTCACTGTAGAGACTCCAGCAGGGAATCTCTTTGGAAAAGTGTGAGTTACTCAGGGGTCACCCTGAGCCTCACACACACACAGCCACCCCGATTCATCCCCTCCCTCCCACCCAACTCCATAAAACTTCACGGGTTTGACACAAACTTTGGTTGCTAGCAGTAAACATGGGTTACATTCTTCCGTCTCCTCGTGGACAACTTTTGGGGGACTCGAGGCTTTTCGCCCCAGGGCAAGACACCCCCCTCCTGAGGGATATCTTTATTTTATTCCTCATACATTCAAACACTCCCGTGTCACAGCAGGACCCTGAGCGTTGCCCCATCCCCTCATGCATAGTGCCCAGCATGGGCAAGGGTGGGTGATGATGCAGCAATTCAGTTAATTATTGTCAAAGATAACGGGAAGAACCACAATGGCAAACGCAAGGAGATGATGATGATGAGAATCAATCCCATCTTTCTCCAGTGTGGCTTCCCCTTTGCAGATTAAAAAATCCCTGTTTTCTTGGATCCCGGCACCGCTCTGGCCCCGGGGGAAACCTGAGTGATCCTCTATTTGCTTTAGCCCAGGACAGGGATGGTTACAGAGCTCATACCTGGCAGCTCTATGTGGGAGAGCAGATCCCATCTCCCTGGTCCATAACCTATTAGATCATTTGGCTATTTTTTTTTTTTAATTTTTTTTTCCCTCTTATTTTTGTAAACAATAATCAAGGAGAATACTGAGAGAAAATGGAAAGATTTACAGAGGTATTTACACACACACACACTAGACATCTAGCAGAAAAAATCACCAGACCATTAAAGTGGGAGCAGGAAGGAGGGGGGGGGGAAGGTCCTACAGGATTCTTGAGGACAGATACAGGAATTAGGGGGGCAGCAGTTTCCCTGGCACAGCTGAGGTGCCGAGGGGAGGCCAAGAGCCCCCCGCCAACGCTCTATTGCATTTACCCCGTCAGACTAAAGCTGTTTTCCTGAAGTAGTTCTGTATAGATCTCGTTGCTAGCCAGGAACTAAAAGTCCTTTCCCCCCACCCCTCCCAAGAAGAGACCACCACCTCACCATAAAACTACCGGAGCAAGGCAGGGAGCAGCTGGGGAGCCGCTCTCCATCCCCCTCAATGCCCACGTGCCGGGGGTCACCGGGCTCCAGCAGCCTCAGCAAGTCCCCCTGGTGACCCCAAACCTTGAGGATGGAGTCAGTGCTCCCCACCTGACCCAACCCTGCTCTACATCTAAACCTATTGCTACTAAAAACCAGCAGAAACTGCGCCCACGGCCCGACACCGGCACGGCGAGATGCCCTCCCTGGGAAGGCTGCAAAGTGGAGTGTTAATGCCCCAAAAACTGGCATCCAGAGTTTCCCCCAGCCATGGTGAGTCAGCATTTGAGGGAAGCCGGGAAGGGAGTAAAATACGGAGCAGTTTCACCTCCCTTGGACTTGGAACCAAGTCCCTTGTCCCAGAGGGTCACAGCCAGCCAGCCCTCAGCTCAAGGCAGGGGATTGAGGGATTGAGGATAACCCTCAGTCTCCCAACACCCTACTGGCCACTGTCTGCTCTTGCCATGTTCCCCTGAATGGGGCTGGGACCCCCTGAATTAGGCTGGGCCCACCATTCTGGCTTTCCAACCCCCAACCACACGGCACCAGCCTGCTGGGAGCCTGTGTGACACCCCAGCCCGTGGGCAACAGGAGGGCTCAGGCACAGGGTGGGCTGCAGTGTTCCCATTGGGATGGTGGGGAGGGGGTGTATGAGCATAAACAGGAGAGAGAAACAGAGGACAGTCCTCAAAAGCCACCAGGCTGGGAAAAACTCTGGAGCTGGGGAGCCGACATGGGCTCTAGCAGCTGTTCCCTGCCCCATGGCACTGCCTGGCTTCTCCATCCTCACACACAGATCTGCAAACCCAAATTCCTCCATCAGTGCATGGGAAAGGGAGAGAGACTATTAAAATACAGTTAAAAAGAAAACAAATCCCAAACATACCAAAAAACACAACTGAAAAGCTCGACAACACGTCAGCCCACCTAGCAAACATGCAGTGAGGTAGATCTACACTTCCAATACAAACTTCATCACTTCTTTGTGCTGTTAGAAAAAAACCCCTCCTCTCTGTCCAGCACTGGGCTACAGAGGCATTTTATCCCTGAGATTGCTCGAATACCTGAGAATAAGTTGCAGGAATTATGTCCTTTTTCTCTCTCTTTTTTTTTTTTCTTCTTTTTCCTTTTCTTTTCTTAAAGATTAAAATACAAAAAAATACAAAACCAGAATATTTATATTAAAAAAAAAAAAAAAAAAAAAAGAAAAGAACAAACCCAAAACAAAAGACGACAAACAAACCCAAAGATACGTCATTCACGCACGTCCTAGTGCAGGTTTCACTTGGCCTTGGCTTTGGCACGGCCTGGGGGGGCTGCCCTGGGAGAAGGGGTGTCCACCAGGGCCAATAAATAAAGGCAAGACTTGGGGGGGGCCATGGGGAGGGGGGACAGCAGCCACTAACCCGGGGACACCCTTGTCCTCTGTCCCTGGGGAGGCTCAGGAGCCGTCGGTTTTTGGAGTGTGGGATGGGCAGGAGGAGCAGAGGTGTGTGTTTTTCCTGTGTGGGTTTGATCCAGAGCCCGTGGGAAGATCCAGTCTGGTGTCTGGAGCAGGCCATGGCTGGATCTATGTGAGCCCTGGGTGGGATGTGTACATGGGTTTTCCAAAGGAAATGCTGCCAGCAACATTCCCGGGATCTGGTCCTGCCCCGTGTCCGGTGCCCAAGGCTTAACAAAGAGTGTTCCTGTTCCATGAAGCCCTCCCACTCCCCAGCTCCGTGTTCCAGAGGCAGGGAGAAGCCTTAGAGGGGAAGAGCTGGCTGCATGAAACACCTTATGCTCTCTGGGCTGGCACTTGGGAGGGACTGGGGGAAAAACAAGTGGTTTTCTTTTGACTTGGTCTCCCCCTGTCCGCAGCTCACAGCCCATGAGCAGGTGGTGTTGGTCTGACCCTGAGGGATGATCCATTTCCTCCCGGGCTGAGCCCAAATCTGGGCTCTGCTGGTGTCAGCAATTGAGCAACCATGGAAAAACTGCAAATCCTCACACTGCCCTGGGAGTGAGAAGCCACGAGGAGCAGAGGGACCCATGGGACCGGCCCATGGGCATCTCCCTGGCACTCCACAGCCAGCCTTTCCCCTCAGCCTCCCTCCCTGGGGCAGGGCAGGAGCAGGAGTGGGTTCCCTGCAGCTCATCCAAGCTGTGCCAGAGCCTGTTTGAAGCTCAGGAGAACAAGGAGCCATGAGCTCCTCCCTGTGATGTGGCTCCTCTGCTCCTCCTCCCTGAGACCCTGCTGCCTGGCCTAATTTAGGAAAAGAATAAAGATGGATCAAATATGTTCAGGTTTTTTTAGCTGGAAGGGGTATGTTGGGTGATGCCTTCCCCTATTTTTGAAACAAGCCATCCTGATTAAAGTAGGGCTTTTCCCAGCCTGGGAACAGGGGGAAAATGTCTGTGCAGGGACACCGGGTCCCTGCTGTCTGCCCTCCCCAGTCCTTCACCCTGCCCTCCCTCCTCTGAGCCCCCACAGCTGCCCCTTGCCTTGCCAAAGCCTTTTCATCCCGGTGGAATCCCCCCTCTCCCTGCCACCCACCATCATTCCCGGGTCTCAGGGAGGAGGGCCGAGCTGTGCATGTCCTCCTCCTCTCGGAAGTAGGCAGGTTTCCCCTGGGAGCTGGGGGACTGCTGTGCTTTCGCGGGGCAGTTGGCGACCATGTGGCTGATGCTCTGGCAGAAGTGGCACTTCTTGGGCTGTGGTGGGAGCTTGCACTCCTTGGCGTGGTGGTCCAGCCCGCCGCAGTTGTAGCATCTGTGTGAGGGGAGAGATTCCAGGAGGAGAAATGAGGTGGGATGTGCCGTGGCCGTGCCCGGGACCGATCTGGCTTCACAGCCAGAGCTGGGCTTTAAACAGCCCGGCTGCTGCAGGGATGTGGGCTCGGCTCTTTGGGGCCGATGGTGGCCCTGGGGTTTGTCCCTGCAGAGCCTCAGCTCCAGCAGGGCCAGTTTGGGCTCAGTGGTGCTGCTGGTACCCAGGAGATGGCAGCAAACCCCTGCACCAGAACCGCACACGGGGGACAAAAATCGGTACATCGGGGGCTTCCACCCCTCTGGCTCCATCAGGATTCTGGCTCCTGTGTCTCCAGACCCCACTCCCAGGGTTACACAGCCCTCAGAACTTGCAGGGACCATGGCCATCAGTGTAGGGACAACCCAAAAGGTGGCTTCTCGCCAGGCTGTACCTTCCAGCCCCCATCCCACGGGTGCCACCTTCACACCAGAGGCGTGTGGGCAGAGGGAACTACATTGTGTCCATTTCACATCCTGCATCCTTGTAGGATGGCCACAACCCTTTCCTCTTTCCTTTTCCTTCCCAGTTCCTTTCTGATTAGTTTATGAGAACAGCGGAGTGGGGCAGACAGCATCCACTGGGAAAACTGGGATGAGGCATCTCCAGGAAGCCGAGATGGAGAGGATGAGAGAGGAGAGGGGGAGATGAAGAGTTGGCCAGAAACTCGCCCCAGGGCTCGCAGCCTCACCGTGGGAGATGCTGCCAGGACGTCCGGCTATTTCCTTCCCACAAGGAAGGGTTGCTCTTGGAGAAAATTACCCCTGCCCAGCACGGCTCCCTGAGCCGAGGGGAGCGGCCGCCTGGGGTGTCCCTGACCTCTGCCCTTCCCTGCTGCTTCCCTGCCCTTTCCCCACCGAGCTGCATCTGCCACTCATTAACTACCAAAGGAAGCTGCTTTCCCAGAGGAAGGGTCGCTGCCCACCCCACCGGACTCGTGCCCATCCCCAGGGTACCCAGGCAGCTCCTGATCCTGCCCGGGCTCAGCCCTGGATCAGCCCTTACCGGTCTCCTTTGGATCTGCGTTTCTGGAGGCTCTTGCCCTTGGGCCTCCTCTCGCTGCCGATGCAGAAGACGCCCCCCGGGCCGGTCACCCGGATGGACTCCAAACCTTTGGATGACTTCTTGAAGGTGAACTCGACAGCCTCGCCCTCCTTCAGGCTGCGGAAACCCTCCATGTGGAGCTTGCTCTGGGAGGGGAAGGATGGGGGTCAGCACAAAGCTGGGGGTGTCCACTGGGCACACGACAAGTCCCAGCCCAGCAAACACCTCCTGTGGCACAAGAGCTGCCAACATTCCCCTGTGCCTGTCACTTGTGAGGGGACAGACACTGAGGATCAAGCTCAACCAGGCACCTTCATCTCCCTAAAATGTCTGGAGCCCTGTTTGATAACACAGAGCATTCAGTGAGCTCAGACACCCGGCTGAGTGGGGCTCACTGGTTTAAGGGCCAGCAGAGACAGCTCAGACACAAATTTCAACAAAATATTGGCTGTCAGCGCTGTAAAACAACTCCCTTCTCCCACCCAGCCCCGTGCTGGGAAGCAAGAGCTGCTCCTGCACCTCCAAAACATCATTTTAAAAATACAAAAGGATCTCGAGGCTTCGCACAAGCATGGTCATGGCAGGACCCACAGTAAAGCCAGGAGGCTGGAAGCTGGCACTGCCAGCCCCCTCACTGCAGCTCACCTCAGTTCAAGCCATTTAATCACCTCCAATAATTAATTAAGCAGCCATTTGGCCCGGGATTACAACTGCTGGGAGCTTCTCCCACCATTCCCAGGACCCCCTCTTATCCCTCCCAGGATCACCACAGTGGTCATCACAATGCAAGTCAGAAAGACCCAGGCTAGGGAGGGGGTTGTGGGATGATAGGAAAATCCTCTCCACTTTCAAGAGCTCTGTCCATTTTAGCAGAACAAATCCCTAAGGAGCCAAGCTGGGCAATGCGGGCGACAACTCTTAACCCCCTGTGCCATGAGCATCACTGCCAGCTCTGCCTGAGGGCCACTCAGGCAGCAATCCCGGGCAGCAATTCCAGCACGGCATTCCCTCAACTCCGTCAGGCAGCAGGAGCCCAAACGACCACGACCAAAAGAGTTAAGGGGATTTGCTGGCGGAGGGAGGAGCAGCTCCAGCGGGCTGGGGATTCCCAGCAGAGCCGGCGCCAAACGCCTGCGCGGCTGCGGCAGGACCCTGCATTTATGAATGGAGCATCTCCCCCCATTCATGGCCCGGAGAGTTCCCGTCACGTGGGGCCGTGCTCGCCCATTCTTCCCACACGGAGCCTCTGTGTGAGCGCTGCCCGGGACAGGCAGGCACGGTCTGTTCCCATCTGCACCCCAAATCTCACCAGGACCCACGGGGGAGCACCCCATGTAAAAGCAGAGAGGGAAGGAACCGAGTTGTTGGGTTTTAGGATTGAATTTTTCTTGGGGGGTTCTTGCAGGATGTCCATGGGCCTGTGGGGGAAGTGGTAACGCAGCAGAGCTCGAGGAACAACCCTTGAGACCCTTTTTTCTGCTGTTTCCCCCCTTTTCTGTGCCTGGTGGACCGATTCTTCATGGGACAAACCCCATAGGCTGGGCCAAGTCACCCTTGCCTGCTGGTATGGGATCCAGAGCAGGCCAGATGGGATTGCCCTTTGCTCTCTGACCTGCTCCTGCTCCCAAAAGGGAGAATCATACCCTAAGCCATGAGGTCCCCAATGACAACAAGGACATGACAGGGTCTCATGGCCACCTCTGCCCACCCAGGGCAGTTCCAGCACCACCTACCACTGGCAAAGCCCCTGCCACGCTCACAGGGGCACCCAACCACTGCTCCCCAACCCCAACCCAGCTCCCCTCCAGTGCTGAGCATCCCCCCAGCAGGAGCTCAGTGCCCAAAGCCTCGACCAGCACATCAGAGGAGATGCCTCAGCACCTTGGGGTCAGTCACCCACCCTGCCCTGTCCTGTCCTGTCCTGTCCCCGGCATGTTAAGTGGTTTGGGCAACAGGAGCTACCACAGATGGGGAATTTGCCCCAATCCAGCAGCAGCCACGGGGTTTTGGGAACCAGGGGGGGGCTGAGCATCATTCCCTGGAGGCCGGGGGACAAGACCAGCCACCTCCTGTGGCTGCTTTCGGGGTGTTTACAGCCCCAGCTGGCCCAGCTGTGTTTACACTGCAGGGATGAAAACTCCCAGGCGCTCTGGGACAAAGCTGAGCCGTGGCAGGGGGGACCTTGGTGCACAGGGCTGGGCCCCCCCAGCTGAGCCCACACCTTGGGCACCATCGCCCCGGTGCCAGGATCCACCCCTGTGGATCCCCAGCTATTCCGAGGAAGAGGAGGGCTGGGGCAGAAGCTGCTGCAACATGACGGGGGAAGCGATTTATTTTCCGGGAGCGGGCGAGGATGACAACCACCCCCCCAGCCCCCTCTGCCAAAAGGCCAAAGGAAACGCCCTCTCCCCAGGGGAGGGGGGGGGACAGAGGCTGGGGCGCCCCAGCTCCCCCCCCCTGCTGCAGCCTTTTGATGTGAGCTGCAGAGTGGCTGGTGGTCCCTGCGCATCCCCCCTGCCCCCTTCCCAAAACACACACATTGCTGGCATTCCTCTGTTATCAGATAGGTAATCAAACTGCAGCCCATTGAATTAGCTGCATACCTCCTGCATCTGAAAGGAAGGGGCCCAGAGCCCCTGTCCCACACCACACACAAAGCCGGAGCCTTCCCAGGCCTCCACACACCCACACCCCCCCCCCAAAAAATAAAGAGAGGAAGGGGGGGATTGGAGCGAGCCGGGGATGCTGGGGATGAGGGGGAGCGCAGGGGAGGGCCAGGGCCGGGAGCCACCGGCCAGCGAGAACAAAGGGCCGGCGGCGGCCGCGCTCCCGCTGCCCAAATTCCAGGAGTTCCAGGCCTCGGCGGGGGGAGGAAGGGTGGCCGGCATGGCCGCGGCCCCTCTGACCCCCTCCAGCCCCTCCACACACCAACCCTGCGTCCAGCTCACCCGCTGCGGGAGAACTGGGGCTCACCCATTGGGTGCCAGGGTTTGGGGCCCGGGTCCCTTGGAGGAGCTGGGGGGTCAGTCTTGGGGATATGGTTTTGGTAGGGGGGGTATAGGGTCACCCTGGGCTCGGGATCACAAAGCAGTGCCATCCCAACTGTTTTAAAGCACAGCCTGGTGCAAGGATGTCCTTGTCATCATTAGGGCCTGGGATTAACCAGCAGGACAAGGAACAGAAGCAGAGCTGGAGCACCTTCCACCAGTGCCACTCCCCCCGCCAAGGCACCCCTTCGCCAGGCATCACAGCGTGCTTTTCCACCCCAGGATCCACCCAAAGCATCCAAGGATGCTTTTCCACCCACCCTTTTCCTCCCATCCCGCACCCCGGTAGCTGATTTACGGCAGACAAAGACGCAGCACGTGAGCGGCCGAGAGCGCTGCCCACCCCCGCCCTCCACGGCACTGGGTGTCCCCCACACCCCCCCTGCACGTGGGTGCCTTCACCCCTCCTCTTCCTCCACCCAACAAATCCCTCATCACGGATCCCAGATCCCTGTGGAAGGGGTGACGCCACAGAGCACCCCAAATCCAGCCGCTGCCCCCCAAACTGCCGGGCTCTGGTTCACCCCCACCCCGCCGGGCTCCGGAGGGGCTCGGCCGGCCCCGGGGTCACCATTGTCCCTGCGGCCTCCCCACAGTGACACAAGGGGACGTTTATTCCCAGCCAGCCCCGGCCACTCAATCAAACCATCTTTGTGTCCCGCGGGGCCTGGGGCGGAGCGGCCGCTGCACCTCGGCCCTCCAGCAACGTTTAAACTGAGACCCTTTGGAAAACAAGCCGGGCTGGGATGCTGGGATAAGAGTGGCTGTGCCAAGGGCACGTCTGGGCCCGGCCCAGAGCATTTTGGGGGAGCCCAACCCCACTGCAGTGCCTCAGTGAGCTGAGACACCTCACTCTGCAGAGGAGGGTCAGGAAAAACGGCCCAGGGATTGCTGAGCCCCCAGGAGGCCTGTGCCCCATCACTGTGGGTACCGCGTTGGTGGTGACCTCTGCATGGCACAGCTCGATGGCAAACAGCCCCCAGAGCAGGTTTTGGCCCACATGGAGTAGTGATTCAAGCCCTGGGACAGCAGGGCCAGCTCAGCTCCCCACCACTGGCCACAAGGCCAGCAGGGAAATGTCCCTTTGCCTTCCCAGCCTGCGCCTGGATCCATCCCTGAGCAAAGCCTTTCCTTGTCTCCACATCACACAGCAAATCTTTTCCCGGTGCCAGAAGCTCCAGGGGCTGGTTTTGGGCTCGCACACGTAGGGGGCTCAGAGCAGGAATCATCCCAGTCCCTTCCTGCAGCTCAGACCCCCGTGGGAGCAGCCAGTGGATGCTGCTTGGGAATGGGGGTCCTGCCTCAGCTCCAGGAGTTGGTGCAGAGATCAAGAGGGAGTTGGGTGTGAGAGCCCTCGGGAGGAGCACGGGGGATTTAACATTAGCAGATCTTTCCAGTGCCTCCTTGGTGCAATATCCCTGTTTTCTTTTTTCCCCCAGTTCAAGTAAAATCAAAATAAAGCCATTTTCCTGCCAAAGTAACTATGTTTGCTCTTAATTCTCCACCATAACCCAGTAAAATTTAACTCTAAGTACCAATTTTGAGGAAAAAAAAAGAAAAAAAGAGCATCTACCACAGAGTTTAATCCATCAGTTTCCTGTCCTAAATCCTTTTAGCTCCTCTGGCTGTATTTTTCCCCACCAAAACCCTCCTGCGCTTCACAGGGGCAGCTAATTGGGATCAGGGGCTGCGTATTAATTTTGTGCTCCCATACTAAAGCAGGAACGCGGCCGGGAGCAGCGGCACATCTTCCAGCGGTGATTTCGGCTGCAATCCCGCTGATTCTTAGGTGCAAGGAAATAGGGAAAAGGAAACGTCGGAGCTGGACCTGGGAGCGGCAGGGACAGAGGCTCGCCAGGGCAGCAGCTCCATCCCAGCCCTCCCCACTCCATCCCGGGAGCAATCCCATTCATTTGGGCCATATTATCTAAGAAACCATTCCAGGGTGTTTTCTCTCCCTGGGGCAGGGAGGGGGAGCTGGGGGAAGGGATGTGCCTGCGGCCATCAGTTAATCTTTAGACAGAGACAGGAGGCTTTTTTTTTTTTTTTGTGTGTGTGTGAGCGTCTTGAGGGAGTTTCAGGGGTGGAATAAAGCAGCTCTCTTTCGCTATTTCCCTCAGAATTCGGCGCACGAGCGGTGCAATACAATTCTATTCCAGCGGTTATTTAAAAAAAAAACCAAACCACAAAATAAAAAAAAAAAAAAAGAAATTGCTCCTATCCCTCTCCCCCTTCAGAAGCAGAGATTCCAACGAGCATTTCTACCCCTGGGGATCTCTGGAGGGGGGGGCTTCCCTCCTTATTGCAGGGGGGTTGGACTAAATGACCTTTAAAGGTCCCTTCCAACCCAAACTGCTCTGTGATTCCATGTTCTCTTCCCGAGGGACGTGTGTAACCCTGGTGCCCACCCAGCTCTGTGGGTGACCCTGGTCCCGCAGAGCAAACACGGGTGTGATGCACACGAGAAAGCAGGAAAAATGAGATCCTGCCCGTGTCCCGTGCCTCTGTGAGCATCACAGGTCCAACCCTGACTCAAAGATTCCCCCTTTCCTTTGCTGCCCCCCCTCCAGCTCTGCAGAAACCAAACCCTTCTGGTCAGATCCTGCCCCAACAGGGGACCCCAAGGGAAGGCTGGCCCCTGCTCCCTGACAGAGAGGCTGCCCCTTGCTCCCCTGCCTTTGCTCTCCTGCACAGTCAGGGATGGAGCTCCCTCCAAACACGTGCTTTTTTTTTTTTTTTAGGACCTCACGTCATGCTCACGTGGATTATTATTATTATTATTGTTATCGTGGCCACATGCAGGCAGATGGCAGGAGCACAGGTGGGTGACAGCTCAGGTCAGCTCGGCCAAAATCCACGTCCAAGGAGCTGCCATCCCCCTCCATCCCACCCCTGCCCAGCTGAGTGGAGATGGAGCCCCTCCACCCACCCTGACCCCCACGGGGCTCCCGGGTCGGCAGCACCCAAGGGATCACAGGGGGACTGAAGTCTCTCCCGTGCTGGGATGTGCCCAACTAGTTCCACGCTGCCCTGGGCACTCGGGCAGGGCAGTAGTGCCACACCCCAGCAGGTCTAACCATGGGCACAGCAAGGACGCACAGGACCAGAGAGACACCAGCAACCAAACACCCTGCAGCCACAGCAGCCACGGGGTCCCAGCAGTGCCCAGCAGCTCTTCTTGCTAAAATCATAAGGAGAAACGAAAAACCCACCTGACTGCCTTTATCAAGGATTTAGACCTGCTGGCTTAGAGAAACACTTGGAGACAGGGAGCCAAGCTATGGAGAGCAGTGATTCCCAGGGGTTGGACAGCCCCTTCTCCTCTCAGCTGGGCCCCATCCCAAAATCCCAGCCCTGCTGGTCTGTGTTCACTCCTCCAGCTCCAACGAGCAGCAGCAAGCCTTGGGGCCACAGGGTGCCCCAATTTTCTCCTCTCCCTCTTTCCAGGCTGCCTTCCCTGGCAGCCCCAGACTCCTTTAAGGGATGCCCAAAGCCCAGGAGCTGCATCCCGAGGGGACCACTGCAGCTTTAGGGTCTTCACCATCACCAGCCAAATTTCTGCCACCTCAAGACCCCCAACCCCTTCACGGGTGCTGCTCAGCCCTTCACCTCTCTGGGACGACCTGCTCTGCTCCTCTGTGCTTTATCCCCTCTGTGTCCTCACAGCCCCCAAATGAATCCATCTCCAGTGTCCAGGGGAGGCATTTGAACCCAAATGCCTCATTTTTAGCTCACAATGCGAGGGAAAGGCAGCCCCGAGGAGCCCTGTTAGTCTCCTGTCCTGCCGAGATTTTAATCTCTTTGTGATCAGATAAAGGCAGAGGGAGATGGAGACGCGCTCCCTGCAGAGAGGGGCCATTCAGACCTGGTTCCTGTAATAAAGTGATTTAATAGATCTAAAGAGGCCAATTCCCTTCTTTCTCCCACAATTACTTCCTGTGGGTCATCATTCACATATGTAAATGAAGAGGGGAAGGCTCGGGGATTTGGGGGCTCTGGGGTGCTAAGCCCCAGAGGCCGGTTTGGGGTACCCTGTGTGGAGCGGGCAGTGGGTGCTGGGCAGGGCACTCCGAGCCCTGAGTGCTGTCCCCTCTGGCTGATCTTGGCTTTTGCCCTCCCAGTCCTGACTCCCTCCCCAGGGAGTGGACGCCGGCTCCCGGGAATCGCCCGGATGCGGGATGGGGAGAGCATCGGCAGAAGGGCCCGATTCCCCGAGAGCCACCCAAAATCAGCGAGGCTGCGGTGGGAGCCTGAGTTTGATCCCTCTGCAAGAAGGAACCAGGGCTGAGCCAGGGATGCTCGGCAGTGGGAGAGCCGCCGGCATCAGCTCTGGCTGATTCACTGCAGGAGAGCAGCAACTTCGTGCCACCAGCGAAGTGGGGCAGGAGGCAAAGCCCAGCACAGAGGGGAAAGATTCTCCATCAGCCCAAAGCTGCCCCGATTCTGCTGGTGCAAAACCCCACGCTGGGACCACCCTGCCCTTCACTGCAGCAGGGGAACCCCCCACACCCTTTACTACTCAAAATAACCCGCTTTTTCCCAGTATTCCTTGTGTTTCCCAAATGCTGCAAACCCTGCACATGGGACCCCACGGTTCCCCCAGCCCTGGAAAACGGGGGGCACCGGGAGGCTGCAGCTCTCCCCGGGCAGTGGGATGCTCCCGACAGAGACACCCCAGTTAATTCTCTTTTCCTGCAGGAATGTGAGCAAAAGCAATCAGGAAACCAGACTGCCTGGGGGCAATAAACCCCCAGGAGAAGGGCGGGAGGCTTCTCCCCAGGGGCACTGGGTCCCGCTGTGCTACATTGAGATGCAAAGACCCATTTGCTCTCTGGAGAGCACCAGGATCTGGTTTTCCCTGGCCGATTTGGAGCCCTCTACTCCAAAACCATCTGTGTCCTGGCCTGGGATAGTAACTCCTAAGAAGGCACTTGGCCCACACCACAGCTGAGGGAGGAAGGATTTGCATCTCCCCTGGTCATCATTTGCTTGCCAAGTCACCATAGCCCTGCCCTGGAGCATCCACTCGTGGGTAGGGGGTGAGAGATCACTAGGAGCTTGTTGCAGCCCGGAGGCTCAATCCTGCACCCCCAGATCGCAGGATATACCCAGCTTGGGGGGATTTGGGCCCACGGAAAGCAGCAGTCTTTGAAGGCAGCTGCTCCAGGGGCTCCCTGGAGCCAGCACCATCATGCTCCTCCACACCCACCCCTGTTTGCTCCAAAAACACCCGAGCCCCCTTCGCTCGTTCTCACTCTGCTCCCCAGCCCCACGGCAGTTGTTGTCCACACTCAGGGGGCACGCTCACCCCACAGACCCCCGTCCACACGAGCCGGTGCTGAGCCCCACATCTCCCTCCCAGTGCTGGCCCCGGTTTGGGCACCATCTCCAAACCCTTTCCCCAGCCCCTGCGCGGGGTCTCCCGGCAGATCCTCCCCCGGGAGCCGGGGCGGGGGGTTCAAGCAGCTGCAGCCCCGAATCCACGACTTCCCTCGGCGCAGGGTCACCGACACGCGTGGGTCTTCCCCGCTCAGCGGGGTCAAACCCGGACACGAGACTGTCACTGTCATACAGGATCCAAAGGGACACACACCCGGCCCCGCACGCCTTTGTGCCACCCGCGAGCGGGACAAGAGGCGCGGGCAGAGGTTCCCCCCTCCCGGGGATGAGCTCCAGCGGGGGAAAGCGCAGTCCCGCATCCCTGGGAGCGGGTACCGCGGGGAAACCGCCTCTTCCCCGTGTCCCTCCACGGGGCGAGCAGCGTCCCCGCTCCGGCACGTCCCGCCCGGCCCCGCGGGCACCTGCTCCCCTGGATCCGGCCCCGAGGGGCTCCTCAGGGAACAACGATGGGAAAATTAAATCGCTCGGGATCAGCTTACAGGGTCGGTCCCCGAGGACGAGCCCCGGGCTGCGGCCGTGCCTGCCCTTCCACCCGCTTGGCTCCGGGGAAACCCGCCCCGGGCGACCACGGCTGGACCCCGGGCTGGGACAGGGGATCCCCGGCCTCGCGTGGGTGCGGCGGGGGGGTCCCCATCCCGCCTCGCATCCTCCGGAGGGTGCTGGGGGCTGCACCCCCTTCCCTCCCCACGCGGGTTCCGGCCCCGTACCTGGTGCACGAAGACATCGACGGGAGAGTCCAGGGTCGCGCCGCCCTTGGCGGTCATGGAGAGGAAGCCGAAGCCCATGCGGACGTTGAACCACTTACAGATGCCGGAGCCGTGCAGTGGCTGGGATTCGTTCTCGGGCTTGGGCGAGTCTCCAGCCGGCTCCTCGCCCGGCTTCGCACCTGGCGAGAGACCCACGGAGCCGCTGAGCCGCGGGGCTGGGGGAGCCGAGGGTCCCCCCCGGCCCAGCCACCCCGCATCCAGCCGGGCAAGCCCGCAGCAGGAGCCTCACATCCTGCTCGGCTTCCCCAGGCTGGAAAAGGCGAAAAAAATTCCAACTCCCCTCCAGAAAAAAACCCCCAACAGAGTGGTGAGCTCTGCTTCCACGTGTGCGTGGGGATCACCCCAGGAGCAGGGGGAAGTGAAGGCAGCTCCTGCCAGCACGACTCAGGCGGTGCGTGGGCTGGGGGCCCTAAATCCGTTTTCCCCTCAAAAACGTTAAAAACGAAAAAAAAAATCCTACCCCGCAAAAACCCCCTCAAAAAGCCAATTAAAAAAAAAAACAAAAACAAAAAACTCAAAAGATGAAAAAAAAAAAGTATAAAAAAGGGATAAAACTCCCTCAAAATATCAACCCGCAACCCCCCTGCCCTCAGCAAGCCACGCTGGAGAAACTCTTCCCTACCGCCAGCATCCCCCTGCTGCACGGGCCTCCCCCGCTCCCAAACACCCCCAGCAGCCACCTCCGGCCCCAAACTTCTGGGCTCATCCTGGGGCTGGAGGGGGGATGAAAAAAAAAATGATATATCCCCCCCTGCGAGCCCCCCGGTGCTGCGCGGGGGAGAGGGGCCGCGCCGGGCCCGGCCGCGCTGCTGGGGCGCAGCGGGGCTGGGTGGGCCGGGGTCGGGGGGGTCCCTGCGCCCCCCAGCCGGGCTCTGCCGTCGTTATTAATAATCACGGAGCCGAGGCGGGCTCCGACAATAATATAACTTAACCTGCAAACTGCTGGTTGGAAACAGACCCCATCCCGACACTCGCTTGCAAATTCCGAGTTGTGGCTGTTACCGCCTCCTCCCTCCTCCTCCTCGGCCAGCTTTGAGGGTATCAGCCCAGCCAAAAAAAAAGGAAAAAAAAAAAAGGAGGAAAAAAAAAAAAACCAACAAAAAACCCCAGCTTAGACCCCGCCGGGAGGGAGCCGAGAGAGGTTTGACTCCATCTTCACTCCAACAATAGGGGTGGGAGGGAGCGGGAGGGTTTTTTCAAAGGCTCCCAAATTCTCGCAGACAATGGCAGCCCCCGCCCCCCCCCTCCGCCCCAGGACCCACCCGCGGGGCCGGGGGGCGCCGGGCCCTGCTCCGCCATCCTGTCCCCACGTGATCCTAATTAACCCCCCCTCGGTAATAGCGACACATTCCGGGAGGGATTTGGAGGGGGGGGGCTGAACCCCCCCACTTAGGGCACTTAGGGGCGAGGCCACCTGTCAAGGGAAGAGGTGACTCTTGGGGGGGCGGGATGGACAGAAGGTGGGACCACCGAGGACTGGGGGGAGTTTCCACGTCGTTTCCCCGCGCCCCCTCCCCACGAGTGGAGCCACCTGCGAGCCGCGACACGGTGGGACGGGGGGAATCGGCACCGGGACGGGCTGATGCCCCAGGGCCGGCTGGGGGGCCGTTTTCTAGGACAGTGGGGTCTTCCTGCACCCCCAGCCCCATCCCGTGTCCCGCGAGTGGGTCGCGCACCCCCAGGGCCGTGTAACCCCCCGGGCACCGCGCGACCCCTCAGGGGATGCGCGACCCCCGTCCCGGCGGCACCGGCGGAACCAGGCGGCGGGGAGCGGTGCCGAGGCGCTGCCGGGGGCGGGGGGTCCCGTCGCCCCCCGGGCCGGGCGGGGACAAAGGGCGAGTGACCAGCGGCTGCATTTCCGGCGGCGGACAATGCCCCGGCCGCGGGGGCACAGCGCCGCCCGCAGCCCCTCCCGGGGCTGTGCCCGGGGGTCCCCCCGCACCGGGCTGAGCCCACGGTGCCCCCTCCTCCAGGGGGAAGTGTGGCTGGGGAGAGGGGGGGGTGTTTGCGCCCACCGCGGCCGCCCCACGCGGGACTCGCCACGCGTGGTGTCATCGCGCGGGGTATGGGGGGGTGGTCACTGTGCGGTCACTGGGCACGGCGGGGACCGCGGTGGTGTCACCTGGGGGGGGGACCCCCGCGCCGGGCGGGTGTTGCCGGTAAAATCCCGCGTGGGGAATCCCCGCGCGAAGGCTCCGCAGCCCGCGGGGCCGCCGGCGCTGGCCGTGGTGCTGAACCGGGAGGCCCTGTCCAGGGTCCTGGCGGCGGCCTTCCTCCTCCTCCTGCCCCTGTCCTTCCTTCCTCCTCCTCCTCCTCCTCCTGTCCATCCTCTTCCTCCTCCTCTCCTCCTCCTCTTGCCCTGCACACTCGGGGGCTCCGGGTTGCCCCTTTCCCGCAGAGCCGAGCTGGACTCCCACCCGCAGGTCTGGCGAGACAGCAAAGGAGGAGGAGGCGCTGGACTAAGACGCTTTTTCTCTTTGGGGATTTTTCCAGCCGGTCAGGGCTCTGCCAGCTCCCGCAGCAGAGGTGAATCAGCATCCCACGGGACACAGGTGGAGTGGGGGATGCCGTGACCCACCCACCCCTGACACTCACAGGTGCCATCTCATTTTACGCCGATTTTAGCAGGGATAGACCAGGCTGAGGAGGAGATTCCACTGTTCTTATTCTTAACATCAGTCTTCAGTTGAGCCCTCAAAGCCAACAAGCAGCCCGTCGTCTGCAGCAGCAGGAGAACAGAGTCTGGCCAGTGCTTCCTTTGGGATTCCCACTCCTCTCCCCCCCCCAACCAGACCCTGGCAGCCTGCAGAGCTCCCTGCCTGGGACAAGGCTGGTGGAGGGGACAAGGCTGGTGACAGTCTTGGCATGAGGGAAACCACGATGCCTGTCCACACTTGCTCACATTCACATTCCCCCTCTACCTGCCAGCACCCACAGCTGTCCCTGGTGGGGATCCGGGATCGTGGTCCTTCCCAGTGTCTCCTGTGGAACCAGGATGCATCTGGCCCCCTCTCCTGGCAGCAAGGGCCGGGTCCACAGCCCGTGTTTATTCTTGTTTTCCTCTCACTTGTGGGATAACTGGGACAAGAGAGAAAAAAATAACCCAAGATCCACCAGAGGCCCCTCCATGTGGCTCCATCCTTCTCAGCTCATCCCTCCTTCAATCCCAGCTCCTTCCCCATTTTCCCCCTTTCTCCCGGGGTTTGGGGAAGGCACAGCCAGTTTCCTGCATGTTTCACTCTCATGCAGAGGTGTAAGGGTATGGGAGAAAGACATGGTGAGGAATGAGCCCTTGCTTTCTCCAAAACCAATCCCTCAGAAAATAATCCACTACCCTGCACCAGCTTCCCCCTCCAGCCCCTTCCTGGTGGATCAGCAGCCCCAGAGGCATCTTCCTGTAACTATTTAACTACAGCAGTTGCAGCAGCAACTTCCTCAGCTTACCCCAATTTCTGCCCATCCTCAGTGACTTTCCACCCGTGTGACACAGCCACATCCCCGATCGTGGCACTTCCAGGCAGCGTCCCTTTACATCCCAACCTCATCTCCCCCAGTGCCGGTGACACATCCCTGCGTCATATTTCTGTGTGTGGTGTATTTGTTTTGGGGGCCTGTTGAATGGCAAATGCGAAAGGGAAGGGGACTCCTTCCTGTTCTTTCAGAGCCGGTCGCTGTGCCCTGCTCGGCTTCAAGGGAATAGCCAGCAAAGCGGCCGCTTTCACAAATAATGGCTTCATTAGATTGAAAGAAGTGGACAGTGACCTCACTGAAATGGACTTTCTGACCCCTGCTGACCTCTGGCCCCGGCTCTGACAGCCTGTAAATCTTCCCCCTCGGCACGGCCGGGGCGAGGGCAGAGCTCTGTGGAGCCCAGTGCTGGTGGTGCTGCCCATGGTCCGGCACCACGGAGCTGCCCGGGGGCTGCCCGGCTCCATCCAGCCCTGAGCCCGGCAGGATGAGGCCCCAGGGATGTGCAAAGCCCCAGCACGTGGGTCACAGCTTTGGCAGAGATGGGGATTGGTGTCCTCATGGTGCTGCAAACCCCACCAGGTGTCCTGGGGGACTGAAGGGCCATGGAAAATGATGTTACGGGGCTGAGGCTTCAGCACCATCTCCCAGCACGGTCACTGTCACCACTCGCCCATTGGGAAGACCCCAACCAGCTGAAAAGCCTCCGAGCCCCTGCCAGGGAAAACTGATCCCTCTCCCTGCCCATCCCACAGGCACAGCTTTCCTGGCTGCACAGAGACACACAGACCTGCTCTAACCCCCTCTGAGCCCAACTCCACCTCCCTCCTGTGGGCACAGACTCTTCCTCACAGCCCCCAGTGCCTCCTTCCCCACCCACCCTGGTGACAACCACCCAGCCCTGCCATCCTATCTGCTGGTGGGGAAACTGAGGCACAAGGGGGTATCTGTGACCAGTGAGTGCCTGTACAATGGGAACCCATGCCAAGCACTCCACCCCACTGGCACAGCCCCAGTGCTGGCAGAGAGCCCCTCGCATCCCAGTGCCACCCACCTCCCTCCTCCCCATCCTTCCACGCTCGCTGCTGACCTTTGGCTACAAAGCAATCAATAATGGAGGCCACGGTGCTGCTCCTTCCCCTCAGTGGCCCCCTGTGCTCCCCTGCTCTCCCTGTGCCTCTAACAAGCCCGGCTGGGATTGAGGGATGCTCTGACACCTCCCAGCACTGGGATCACAGGGATGGGGCACACTGACACAAGTGTGTTCCCAAGGATGCTCTAACCAGGCACCACCTTTCCCACACCTCAGAAATACTCCCCTGGGGCTCCTTTCTGGCTGCAGGGGGTCGGTGGGTGCCCCACAGCTCTGGGTTTGGGGCACTGGGCTCCCCACAGTTGGGATGGAACATCCTGCTGCCATCCCAAATGGGACTCACCAGGGCACTAACCCTGGCAAGGGAAGGGTGAGGAGCATGCCTGAGGGGTGCCCTGTGGGGTGCTGCCTGGTGCCAGGCTTCCCCCAGCTTCCTGCCTTTCCATAGGAAAAAGGTGGGTAGGGAAAATCCTGTCCCCTGGCCTGGAGCGATGGGTCGTGCCCAAATTCGGCAGCTCCCTTCTGTAAAAGCCCTCGGCAGCAGCTGATTGATCGGCTGCAGAGCGGGGATTGATCAGGATTTCAGCCCATACATATTCCTGCTCCCTGATAAAGGGGAATCGATAGCTGAAAGATATTCCCCTAAGGCAGCAGATCCCCACAGACCAGGGCTTGCAAGCCTCCCCTCGCCCCCTCAGTCCCCCCACCCCAGTTCAGACCTTGCTCCCCCCGACAGCAAACCAGGCAGTGGGGGAGAAAATTGCTGTGAGGGATCTGGGGAGGGGGAGGCACAGCAGGAGCCTCTGCTCCCGTCGCTGGTTCTTACCTCCCAAAGCACTGGCCTGTCCTGCCTCTTCCTCCTCTCACCGCTGGTTTTCCTCCTTCTTGGGGTGCTTGGGACACACCAAGCACCCCCCAAAGCCCAGTGCAGCCGAGCTGGCTGGTACATCCACAGTCATCACCTCTAAAGACCAGCACGGCCCTGGCTCAGCCCCTCCCCAGAGCTGGAAACTCGTTGCAGGTGTGGCCACAGCTGCACCTTTGGGGTGCTTGTCCCCTGGGAATGGGGTACAGGCACCCACGTTCACCCGGGGGAGGGGGCTCTGCCTGCAGGTGACACAGCCTGTGGGGGTTTCCTTTTCCTTTTCCTCCTCCTCCTCCTTCTCCTCCTTCCCCTTCTCCCTCCCACTGCTACCTTCTCATTTCCCCCTGTCTGGAGGGAGGGTGACAGCAGAACCCCCCTGCAGCCCCCTGGTGCTCTGGGGCTCCCCCTGGCCCTGTTTTCCCCGCTCCGGGCGTTGCGGCTGAGCCCGTCCCCCGCCCCGCTCAGCGTGCCCCGGACCGTGTCCCTCCCTTTGCACACAGTGACTCAAAGCCCAGGCTCGCCCCAGTGTCCCTCCAGTTGCCCCAGTGCCTGGGGAACTGGTTTGCTGCGGGGAGGACCCTCCCCGGCGCTGACTAAACCCTCCCCGGTGGTGCAAAGGGACGTGGAAGGGAGATCCCGCTCCCC